TCCCTGTGGGCAAAGGGGGATTGCTTTCCATGGGATAGTCCCTGTGGGCAAAGGGGGATTGCTTTCCATGGGATATTCCCTGTGGGCAAAGGGGGATTGCTTTCCATGGCTGTGCTTGGCTGGGATCATCCACAGGAAGAGGGGGCTGCTGGAGGGACACACTATCCCTGTACCCAACAAAAGGAGGGAAGACTAGCTAGAGAAAACTATTTCTGAAACTGCCAAATGATTCCAAATGCTGTAAAACCACACACACGGGATAAAGGGAACCAAAGGAAACTGCACTCAGGGAGGGCTCGTGGGATTTGACAGCCATGGCTTTGCACCATTCCCTCACCTAAAGCGGGAACAGCTGGGACAGAAATAATTCTGAAAAGGATGAAAATAAGGAAAATCATTCTGTTAGTTCTGAGCCTTTCTGAATGTTTTCCAGAGGAAGTCTTGCTGGAGTGAAGGTCAAACTGTAAGTGTAACAGTAGTCTAAGACAAGAAAAACTTAAAGGCCTATGAAAACATGTGGAAATTACATCAGCACATTACTGTATTTCATAAGAATCTTCATAAAATAAATACTACCATTTCCAGTCCTCAGAAATGAAGAATGGATGTCACAATTTCCACACAAATAAGTTTAACCGAGTGTATTTTCTAGATCTTCACACATGGTGAGAAGCAACTGCCACACACCCGAGGCAGGTAAGTGCTGTTATCCCCTGCAGAACCAAACGTCAGGAATTCTCTTCCCCAGGAACTCCACTTGGCAAATGCAGATCCAGGGTCCACCATCATCTGCCCCACCAGTGAAGAAGCAGAGACCTCTGTGGCCATCTCTTTTATCTCCCTGAGTGAGAGGGGACAACAACCCCTGTGCAGTGGCCTCGGTGCCTCAGGCAGAGCCCCCTGCTCCGTGGGCTGCTCCCAGCCAGGGATCACCCCTCTGCCTGGATCTGCTGTGAACCTTCAGCCCTCCTTGTCTCTGCAGCAGCCCTGGGCCCTTCAAAAGCCGATTCCGTGAGGAGGGAGGAAGGGACAGTTTGTGCTTGATGTCGAAACTGCAAATTTGTTTTCCAGAAGCTCTTCAGACTGGTAGTTTTGATCATATTTTAAGAACTCACAGTATGACACGCAGAACTATCAGCCCCTGCTGCTGTCACAGAAAGGCAAACTCTGCTGGCTCTGAGCTGGGTATCAGTGGCATAAATACAGAGCAAAGCCAAGGACTGCCTGGAATTACTGTACCTGCAGGGGACAGCTACTCTGAGCTTGTGTAATAACAACAATAAAAGGTCATTGTGCCACCTGACAGAGATAACCCCAAACTATTAGGCCCAAGGAAGACTCTGGCATTATCCCACTCCTCTCAAAGTCAGCACTTTCAGAAGCAAGTGTTTTCAGTACTGGGGATGCCATCAGTGATGTTGCAGTGGTTATGGAAGCAGCTGAATTTATCTCCCTGTATTTAAACAAGACTTAAACTCACTGCAACTTCAAAACTCTTCACAGGAATGAACCAATTTGGCATGAACGAGTGCAGTTCGACTGCTGCAGTCAGGAGATATGGACATGGACCCAAACCGGTCTGAGAGATGCTGATACACGTCACAGCTACCAGAAAATCTGAATTTGAGCTTGGAGTCAAATTTCACAAGTCAAACCCACTGCTGATCCAAAACTGGATCCGAAGGGGTCAACTTTACACACAGTTCTACACTCACTTTGCTGCACAGGTAAGTGGACTAATTTTTAGTGCTGTGTGGTCCTTTTTCAGGGTAGTCACTAAACAGAGAAAAGAATGCCAATTATGGTTTGGATATCTTTAACCTGGAAGCAAAACCAGGAGTTCTGTGCTACTGTGACAAAACTGCCCACTTGTTTTCTGTCTTTTCTTACCCTCCACTCTGTCCAAGACCAAAGCTTATTCCAAGACGTTGAGACATGGAGTAGGGGGAGGAAAGTATTTTTAGGTTATGTGTAATTTTCCCTTCCTCTCTGGAAAGTAAACAACAACAGAAGTTTGTACTTGTCTCAGTTTTGAGTAAGAATAAACCAGGACTCCACAATAAAATCACCTGGCATTTAACAGACACTGATCTCCCCAAAACACACAAACAGTGTGGTGCCACAGACCCTTATAAATGGCAAACAGGCAGAATGGAGGAAAGCAGAAACTTCACCACTTTTTAAACACAATTATATGTTCCAGGATCAGAAAGCAGCAGTAGTGACATATACCTACTGTACACTGCATGCACAGTGCCTGGCTAATGTGTATTTTAATACTCACCTCTCAGCAAATATGTAAATATAAATTCTCAGTGAAAACACATCATATGCTCTAAGCCAGGCATGTGTTACCAAGATAATTTTGAACATCTATTTCTGCACTTTAAATGATAAAATCTTTGAAACTTTTTCTTGTTCTCTACAAAATAACTATTTTTCTACTTCTCATCTCTCAGTTTTATGTGTATTTAGAGACGTCCTAGTTCCCTGCCAAAACTGGTGGTGTCTTTAAAACTTCTTTAGGAATTTAATAGGTCTGGAAACTCTTAGCAGGCTACTAAATCCCCCTGTAAATCCTGGCAAATTCCCAGACTGCCCATTCTCACAGGGATACACGGCCTAATTACAAACCCATTAAACACTGCGAGTTCAAGAGTCTGCTTTAACCCTGCAATTATTTGATCCTCCTCACACAAACAGCCTCAGTGAAACAGAGACGAGCAAAAGAGGACGGAGCCAACAGGAAAAGAGAAGCAAAGACAGGGGCAGAGGGAAGGCAAAGGAAAATTGTGGGGACAGTGAGTGGCAGTGGGAAAAGACTGAGCAGGGAGAGAAGAGCACTGGGATAAAGGGGCAGACACTGCTGGCACTGTGTGAGGAACCTGTGCCAGGGGCACAGGAATGAAGGTGCCGGGATGCCGGTGCCATGGCCCCTCTCCTTCCCAAAGGAACGGGAGCAGCTCTCCCTACTCGCCAGGAGCCACAGCCAGGCCCTGCAGGGATGGGATCCCTGATGGGATTCCCTGGCTCAGGTGTGCTGTCCCCTGTCAGCTGAACACAGAGAGGAGTTTGCTTTACCACACCTGCTTCCCTGGGAGTGTGCTCAGGCCAAACACAGGGAGCACAATCCCCACCCAGGGCCCGTGTCCCAGCACAGCATATCCTGCCTCTGCTCTCACCCAGCCAGGCACCACCAGCTTTGCCACGAGGGAAGGCAGGACAGTTCCTCACTGAGACAGTCAACAGAGATCTGCTTTCCCATTTTCACGTTCACACAGCTTTGCCCTTTCACATTTTAACACAGAAAAGCTAATGGGAAACATTAGGAAACACTGTTGGTTTTCTGTCCCAGATCTACTACTTGGTGTGACCTAGAAGGATGGGTTGGAACAGGACAGCTCTCCCTGGGTTCTGACAGTCCAGAGTCAGCATTTTTTCCTCCCCATTTTCCATACAGTACTCATGTTATAAAAGCCGTGTCGTTTGACATTTCAGATTAAAAAAGACCAAAAAGAGACATTTAAGTCATGGACTTGGTTCAAATGATCTCACTGTGCAGGGCCATGGAGCCAGCTAATCTGTGACATTGAAACACAACTTATTTTTCTTGCTGACTATTTGCTGATGTCATTTGGATGGTGAAAAGAAACTCCCTCTTTGGGTGCCAGCAGCGAGAAAGAACCGAAAAATGCAGTTTATTTGCCACTTTGCCAGGCAAGGTGGTACCACCTCCTGCTTTGTTAAATTGTGGTTGGTTGTTTTCCAGCGACCCAGACATTACTTAGGGATATTTTTAATCTGTCATCTTAAATTGAGGCGTTTCTTTCCTCTCTTTTGAATACCTTCCAGCCTTTATAGTCTTCCTGATGTACTGTACTCAGTACTCCCAGCAAACATGGCCTGTAGTGCTGAGCACGTGGATCAGGTTGGGAGTCCATCAGTGGCTCCTTTTTTTAACAGAATATGGCACTGAAAACAAACAATCCCACCCTTTGGCACAGCATAACCTGAGCAGTGGCTGTACCACTCTGGACACTCCTCCAGCCTGCTGGGAACACACACGTCAGGCTCTGCTCTTGAAGAGTCTCTCTCTGCTGGAACAGCTTCCTCAGCCACCAGCCATCTAATGTGCTCAACACACCAGAGCCACAATGTGTGTGTGTATTCACCCAGTGCTCTCACACACGCTGCTGTGCCCCAGGGGTTGTATGGAGTTATAAATAATGGGATATTCTCAACAACGGGGACGGGATGCTTCGATTTGTGCACGAGA